ACATTGGGAAAAGAGCGGGGTATAGAGACTGGTTATATTTTTGACTGGTAACACCCAATGACATGATGTGATGAGGAGAGTTGGAGACTAACAAAAGTTGGGACTCTGTTCTGGATTTAGCATTTTTTACTCACTTGTGCTGATCTCTGGAGATATTTCCTCTTCTTTACATGTCTCATCACCCCTCACATATGACTCTCTTGCTTCCTCTTTAACATTAATTGGATTTTCATCCTGTGCAACACAAAGCGATTCTATCAGGAGATAATTGGTTTTAGCTGTCCGACATAGACTTCAGTTCAGCTCCTGACTCATAGATGCGATGCCTGTTAGCAACCTATGCTTCTGTTGCCAACTCATCTTGCACTGACTATGGAATCTTTGTTGTCTGGACCAGTTTTCTATGCATTGCTGGACTACAACTTCTATCTGACTCTTTGGATGAGTTCAGGTTTGACCCTGGCCCAAACCTCACCAAACTATCTCATCTCATCTGACTGAAGTGTTGGCTTGCCTAGCTGAATCTTTGTTGCCTTGGTCAAGTTTTCTGATCTCCTCCCCTCCTAGGTACAGTTGTGTTCAAAATAATAGCAGTCAGACATCACTAACCTGATCAATCACTGTTTTTGGTAGAAATGATATTTCTACATGGCAAATAATTTACTAGCAGTGTAGTAGAGTAATAGAAATCCAACAGACCCAACTGTCATGACATGCACGCTGCTGATTCTGTGTAATTCAATCACTAATTGAAAGGGGCATGTTCAAAATAATAGCAGTGTGGAGTTCTATTAGTGAGGTCATTCATTCTTTGAAAAACAAGTGGCAATTATTGCCCTTATTTAAGGAAGGAAGGCAGCAAATGTTGGACATGCTGGTTACAGTGCGTTTCTCTCTGAAATTCTGAGGAAAATGGGTCGTTCCAGACATTGTTCAGAAGAACAGCGTACCTTGATTAAAAAGTTGATTGGAGAGGCTTAAAACATATAAAGAAGTGCAGAAAATGATAGGCTGCTCAGCTAAAATGATCGCAAATGCTTTAAAATGGCAACCAAAACCTGAAAGATGTGGAAGAAAGCGAAAAACCACCATTGGAATGGATAGAAGAATAGCCAAAATGGCAAGGACTCAGCCAACAATCAGCTCCAGGAAGATCAAAGAAGGTCTAAAGTTACCTGTGAGTACTGTTACAGTTAGAAGACACCTATGTGAAGCCAAGCTATCTGCAAGAAGCCCCCGCAAAGTTCCACTTTTGAAAAAAAGATGTGCTGAAGAAGTTACAATTTGCCAAAGAGCACCTTGACTGGCCTAAAGAGAAATGGTGCAACACTTTGTGGACTGATGAAAGTAAAATTGTTCTTTTTGGGTCTAGTGACAGTTTGTCAGTACACTGTGAAGACAGTGAAGCATGGTTGCGCAAGCATCATGATATCGGGATGTTTCTCATACTACGGTGTTGGGCCTATTTATCGCATACCAGGGATCATGGATCAGTTTGAATACATCAGAATACTTGAAGAGGTCATGCTGCCTTATGCTGAAGAGGAAATGACCTTGAAATGGGTGTTCCAACAAGACAACGACCCCAAACACACCAGTAAACGTGCAACATCTTGGTTCCAGACCAACAAGATTGATGTTATGGAGTGGCCAACCCAATCCCCGGATCTTAATCCAATAGAAAACTTGTGGGGTGACATCAAAAATGCAGTTTCTGAGGCAAAACCAAGAAATAGAGAAGAACTGTGGAATGTAGTCCAATCATCCTGGGCTGGAATACCTGTTCACAGGTGCCAGAAGTTGGTTGACTCCATGCAACACAGATGTACAGCAGTTCTCAGAAACAGTGCTTATACAACTAAATATTCATTAAGTGATTCAAAGGAAAGTAAAATCTTCAAACATTTTCAGTTTATATAGTGAATGTTTGAGTTTGTAAAGAAGAATACAAACACTGCTATTTTTTTGAACAGTCTAATATTCACTTTTCTTCAATTTTTTTTAGAGGAATAACACAAATTTGATATATTTTTCTTCATGTTTTGATTTGGAATAGAATGTGTAGTGTTCCCATTTGTGTGTATAGAAATAAAAGCTATTAGAAGGATTTTGAGCTTTATTCACTTTTTTCAATACACTGCTATTATTTTGAACACAACTGTATATTCTATCTTTAGGAAGGTTTTGGGCCACCTGGCCATTCCAGACCCCACATGGCCCCTTGCAGTCTACATATTGGTGTAGCAACAGTAAAATTAAACCTCATCCATCTGGAAAATCTTGGTGTCAGAAATTTGAAAACAAATCCCAGTGTTCTTGGAGTGGTGGCAACTGTTCCTAAACAAAACATCTTCTGAGCATTCAATTTTTATCAAGATCTACATCAAATGTCTCCATCTTCACCCAAGGGAAAATTCCTCGACAGGCAAACACACTAACATGGCCAGAGGTTTGCAGACACCGACTACCAAACCTATGTCAGCTTGTTTTATATCTCCTTCCAAAACTCGTGTTTTGTGGGAATTTATGCACATTAAACCACAAGAGGCCAGGTACTGATGTTGGGCGAGAAGACTGGGCTTCCAACTGGTGTTTCAGTTCATTCCAACAGTGATGAACAGGTTTGAGGTCAGGGCTCTCTGCAGGCCATTCCGCAACACACTGGGAAAAACACGTCTTCTCCTTTTTCATGTGGCCCTCACACCTCTACTGACGCTATGGCACCCCTCTCATCTCTGCCCCCACCTTGTCTCAGCAGTCGGTAGCAGAGAGGAGGACAGAACTCATCCTCAAGATCCTGAGCCTCATTGTACAGCTTCAACATCACCTCGCCCAACCTCCTGGTCTCAGCATTCAGCAGACTCCCGCAGCTGACTTCAACCTTCCTCTGGTCCTCCTCCCAGAGCCTTCACTTTGTACTTGCCAGCCCTGCCCCAGCTTCTTCCCAGCAGCAGCACAAAATAAAGTGGGTGCACTGTGATGTAACCCATATGGAAGAAAAATATATTTGAAATATATTTTAAAAAATATTCTTCCCAAATATATTGCCATATATTTGAAATGCTACAATTTTGGCCATACTCAATATATTTCAATAAATATATATATACTGCATGTTGAAATGCGTTTTCATTACAAAATATATGAAAAATATTTTTAAAAATACATTTCAAATATACTGTATGTCTTTACAAATACAAATCCACATTTTTGGAATGCATTTACAAATATATGTACGAGGTGATAGTACTGCTTAGACCTTGAAGAAGGGGACATACCCCGAAAGCTTGTCCTCAAAATTGTATGTTAGTGCAAATAAAAAAAGTATCACGGACAGTACTCAATTGTTTCTGTCACAAATATATGTAAAAATATATGTTAAAATTACTTTTTTATATGTTTAAAAAAAAACTGAAAAAGTCATTTTAACATATCTTTTTACATATATTTGTAAATGCATTCCAAAAATGTGGATTTGTATTTGTAAAGACATACAGTATATTTGAAATGTATTTTTTAAAATATTTTTCATATATTTTGTAATAAAAACGCATTTCAACATGCAGTGTGTATGTGTATATATTATATTATATATTATATATATATATATTTATTGAAATATATTGAATATGGCCAAAATTGTAGCATTTCAAATATATGGCAATATATTTGGGAAGAATATGTTTAAAAATATATTTCAAATATATTTTTCTTCCATGTGGGATGGGAGGGTGGGGGACTTTTGACTTCTGATGGTGGGGGGGCTCTAAACATCTAATATAAAGAGGGAGCAGGGTGCTCTGGACATCTAGTCTTACAGATACAACCGGTCCTTTGAGGGCAACCATAATACTGATGCAGCCTGCAATGCAATTGAGTTTGACACCCCTGGTCTAAAATGTCTTTGTGCAGCATCAACCATACTCTTCACAGGAAATACATGAACACAATAATTTGGTTGGGGTGTCAATAAACATTTGGTTGTATACTTTATTTTATCCATCACCTCCTTCCCAACTTTACCATCTACTGTATCTCTACAATGTCCAAATGCACAAAGCTCTCAATATTCTGCAATTTTAAAGTGTTCAGATTTAATTTGGGAGAATTTTACAAATTCAAGCAATACCATGGACTTTTTCGAAATGGGCCCACAAGATGTGCAACCATTTAGGGAAAAACCAAAGCTGTTGTTGCTAATATGCACAGAAATTTCACACACTGGCTACCCAATATGGAAATGCAAGGTCCACAAAATGAAAATTTGAATCCATAAAGTCATCCAAAGTGCATTAGACAGGATCCTGTCACTGCCTTGGCTTTCCCCATTTGATTTGAGAAGACCCTTGTACCTGATCCTCCTGAGGGATCTCCTGATGGTCCTGTGTGGAGTCCTGGGAATACAGAGGACGGGGACATCTCTCTGATGGGTTCCCATTACTGGATCCATCTGTAGGAAACACACACACTGACTGAATACATTGTTTCTATATCTTTATATAAGAGGATGTGTGTATCTAGGGGATTCTCAATACAAGAAATTAACAGTCTCCTCTTACCCGGTGATATAAGGGATGGCCTGTCCTCCATCATGACATCCTTCTAGGATCCTTGTGTCCACTATATACTCCCACTCCTCTATTGTTTCTATATTTTATATCCGAGGATGTGTGTATCTAGGTGGATCCTCAATACAAGAAATTAAAGTCTCCTCTTACCCGGTGATGTGAGGGGCGGCTGGTTCTCCACCATGACGTCTTTGTCCAGATCCTTATAACCTTCTGAATACTCCCACTCCTCCATGGAGAAAGGCACAATGTTATCCTGACACCTTATAGGAACCTGACACACACAATGATACAGTCACCATCCAGACAAATCCCTTGTCTGTTACTGGATAATGTCCCAGAATTCCCGGAACCGCTCACCTCTCTTGTCAGGAGGTCAATTATTTCATTGGTAGCTTTTTGAACCTTCTCACTGTTTCTCCTCTCATGTATCAGGCAATGAGATGGAGGCTCCACAAAAGGGCTCTGGCCCTCTATTAAGTTGGAGGCAACAAACCCACTGGATAACTTGAAAGCTATATAATTCTAAATAGAAAGATGAAAAAAATGATAAGTCTCATGAGAAATTAAGGAGATCTATAGTCACATACGCTTTAATTTCATAACATCATCATTGTATTAACAACACAAGTTAGATTTGACAATCCAATCTAAGCTTACTTAAATTTTTTCTTCTTTCACTCTGCCTGTCTGCTTGCCATCCCTTTCCACAACTTCCTGGATTCTCCCATGCTTTGCGGCTTTTCCTCTGTTGTTTACTTTTAATTCTATGGAATACATATCCCATGGTACCTTGCTGTCTAATAGCAGTGATTTATGTACTGATTCTACCACCTGAACATCCTCCTCTCATTACCTCTGTAGTTCACCAGGCAGACTCTGTGAAATGTGTGACACAGCAGTGCCTACTTACAGGGCATGGTGACTAAGTGTCACACAATACCAGGATATGTGTGGTAGTTTTCGTAAAGTTTACAAACTTCAAGATCGTTTGAATTAGTAGAAGTAATTGAAACACACTGGAAATGCATATATGATCTAACATTTTAACCACAGATATGCTTTAATAGAGTTGGGAATCTGGTCAGGTCGGTGTTTTATTAATAGAGATCAGAGTGATGTCATGTGACCTCCCAGAATCCTCCTCACCTCCTGGTCAGGTCTGTGTTTTCTTAATAAAGATCAGAGTGATGTCATGTGACCTCTCAGAATCCTCCTCACCTCTCTGGTCAGGTCTGTGTTTTATCAATAAAGATCAGTGATGTCATGTGACCTCCCAGAATCCTCCTCATCTCTCCGGTCAGGTCTGTGTTTTATTTATAGAGATAAGAGTGATGTCATGTGACCTCCCAGAATCCTCCTCATCTCCGTCAGGTCTGTGATCAATAAAGATCAGTGATGTCATGTGACCTCAGAATCCTCCTCACCTATCTGGTCAGGTCTGTGTTTTTATTAATAGAGATAAGTGATGTCATGTGACCTCCCAGAATCCTCACCTCTCCGGTCAGGTCTGTGTTCTATTAATAGAGATCAGAGTGATCCTCTCAGAATCCTCCTCACCTATCTCAGGTCTGTGTTTTATTAATAGAGATAACGGTGACATCGTGTGATCTCCCAGAATCCTCCTCACCTTCCTATCTAGTCTGTTTTATTAAAAGAGATGAGTGACAACATGTGACCTCCCAGAATCCTCCTCTCCGGTCAGGTCTGTGCTTTATTAACAGAGATCAGAGTGATGTCATATGACCTCCCAGAATCCTCCTCACCTCTCTGGTCAGGTCTGTGTTTTAGTACTAGAGATAAGAGTGATGTCATGTGACCTCCCAGAATCCTCCTCACCTCTCCGGTCAGGTCTGTGTTTTATTAATAGAGATAAGAGTGATGTCATGTGACCTCCCAGAATCCTCCTCACCTCTCCTGTCAGCAGGTAGATGATCTCCAGGGTGAGGTTTAACATCTTCTCAGACATGTGACTCGGCTCCTTCTCCATCCTCAGCCAGGTGATCTGGTACAACAGTTTTTACTATCAGTTCAGGCTGTGATGTGGAAATAACAGGGAGCAAAATGATATAACAGATCAATAAGGTATATAACTCCATCCAAATCAGAAAAGTTGAATCATCCATTTGCTCTTATATCCCAGCAATAAGATTTCTGAACCTGTGACCTCAAGTCCACCCACCTGCTATAGCCATTTAGGCAGGAATTCGCTTTCCTGGAAGTTATAAATATTTTCTACTCCTTGTCCTCTTTCTCCTTTAGGGATCTGACCCATCCATTGGGCACCTTAAACAATGATACATTCAGGACCACAAACGCAGGTCCTAAGAGTGTATCAAACAGGGACTACTGGAAGATCAGGGGTGAATGTAACTTTCTCCTGTGTAATACTACAGTTCCAAATATCTACTGCATTTAATGGTCCTACAAAAAGGTGCTAAATAGAGTAAAAAGATCTACCCTGGCCATACATGGGCAGACTTCTAAGGACAACCTGAGGGAAGGGGGAGCTTGCTGTCCTTCAACAACTTCTCCCAGCGTGGGGACCTTCTGCTATCTTTAATGAACATGCATGCTGCACTTCTGACCCTTCATTCGACTCCTCTGAAGACCGAAAGTTCGAGACTCAAAATTGCAGGAGATTGCCCAACACATCGTATGTATCTCTAAACAGCAGTGTCATAAATGACCCAAATCTGGAACACTGCTTGTATTGACAGCCATAAAAATAACCTGTAATAAAATAGAGGTTACTGCTTTAAAACTAAACACCAAAAGTGCAACAAAAAAGTGTATGAGAAAACCCACACTAAATAGGTGCACTGGGTGTGTCACTTGGTCCCCAAATAGGGATGAGCTCTGGCATACTCAGATGCTCTTCAGACCCCATTTGGCCAAGCCCTCCAGGAAGATGTCACCTGTAGTGTACCAATCATCGGTGGTGGGGGCATTTCCTGCATGTGTACAGGGGGCCTGTAAGGCATACAGAGAATGCCTTGCCAAAGAGAATTGGCCCATTACACCCATTACAGATGACAGCCTTTTGGTGGGGTTGGCCACGTGAGTTCTGAAGAATCTTCGAAACACCCAAACTCATCTCTACTCCTGAAGATAAAGGGTCTCTTCCCTGACCCCCCTGGGATGCACAGCTGCTGACAGGCGGGGCATTCTAGTTCACCCAGCCAAAGCAAGGCAGAACCCTCTCCTCATGGTCAGCTGAAACTGACCACCAAGTACTAGGACATGGAATCTGCTAAAAAAGTTGATCCTCCAAGGCAAGAGAGGAATGAACCTGATAGCCACATATCCTCCCCCTAGACTTCAGGGCAGGCCCAAAAACCCACACCCTTAGTCCTGTGGAGTGGAGAATACAAACATAAAATGGTAAAAGTTCATATACTGTAAGAGAAAGATACCTAGGTGCCAAAGTGCTAGAGTCAGACAATGGTTAGGTCTTATGGCCCAGTATTAAAATAAGACCTCTATGGGGTGTAGTGCAGAAAAAGCAAGTGGTGTCATCTACTGGCTATAAGTTATGTCGCACAGTGGGGTGCCAAACCCATAGTTTGACTCTGGTCCATCCTGACTCTCCAACAGCTTCAGGTCCCAGAGTGACGATTGGCAGGTGGTAGGACATGCTCCTGATGAGTAGAGATGAGCTTGGGCATGTTCTGTTGCTCTTCCAAACCCACTGGCTGAGACAATCAGGAAGCTGTCGCTTGTAATGGACCAATCATCTGCTTGACCAAGGCATTCCCACCTTGTATTGAAGCGGCTTCGAGGTGGGCAATGCCTAACCACAGAAGATTGGTTTGTTACAGCACCTGACATGGGTTCAGAACAGTACCTGAACATGAGCATGCCTGAACTTTTCTCTACTCAGAAGACGCTTGACCCTTCCAGGTAACAGGAACAGGTAGACCCAATTAAATCTGGAGTCATTAGCTTCTCGGAGTTCCCTGAACTTAGGGGAGTACTCCCACCTTACATGGTGGATGAACAATTCACTTTCCTCATGCATGAAAAGAATCCTCAGGACTCCCATTACTCTGAAACCAGCATCCCCCATACTTCCTCTCCTAGACACTGATAGGAACAGATTTGGACATCTCATCTCAGGCCAAGAAGCAATATTTTTATCTCAAGCTCCGTGGTGCAGGGCACACACTCACACCAGGTGCAAAAAAAAGTAAAGTACACAAAAAAGTCCACAGGGTGTGCACATGGTTCTCCTCCAAAGAGGAAGGACCCTGGCCCTGGCGCAAGACTCCTGCCAGGGACTGGGGTACTCATGGTCCACCTAGCCAAAACCAGGTGGACCCCATTCTTCGGGAGACCTGCCAGGGCAAGGTCCACCTAAATACTTGGTGGGGCTCCCCAGAAGCGAGACCCTGACCATAGGGCCACATGCCCTACCCCAAGACGTTCACGGAAAGTCCAAGGACCTACACCCTAATATGGAGGATGTTGCTGTTTGCCTGGCTGTCATGCCAATCATCTGGCTTCCACACTAACCTGGCGAACACGTAACATTGGGAATTGTTTTACTTTAGAGAGAGATGTGAGGGAAAGATTAGAATAAGAGGCACTATAAAACAGTTCTATCACAGCTCTTGTTGCCCAGCAACAAGCCAGTCCTCCTTTCAGCTGTCATTTGTTGCCATAGGCAACCATTTTGAGTCCACTTGATCCTGTTTCCACAACCCCCCCTCTGCTGAATATTCATGAAGCCTCATTAATATTCATCAGCTCACTGTGTTATTTCCGAACTCACCTGGTTTCAGCCCCTTTTTAGGATATCCCTTTAAGACACCCTGACCGGAAGTTATTTTGCTTCAGCGTTACTTCCGCCCTCAGCCAGCTCTTCCTTTTCCTGCATCGAGCAAGCGGAGAGAAGTGCCGACCTGCGCCCTCTGCTGGCAGACAGCCGCATGTCACAGCCTCGCAGCTGCGCGGATCGGCAGGATAGAGAGCGCGGCGGCCATGTTGTTGTAGACCGTAGAGGATAATGGGAAGGTCGCCATTTTGCCGTGGTCTAGCAAATTCCTAGCAAGAAAGGTTTGTGGGACTGTATTTTATAGACAGACTAGTGAAACCAGTGTTTATAATTTGAGGGAACACAAAATATATTTATTGTAACCATCTGTAGAACACTGATGTATACCGTGGAGCACTACAGACCACAGTGGACAATTATGTCCTGCTTTTTAGGCCAATGTGCTGTCAACGTCAAAAACCAAAGGAATCGATGCGATTTATTGGCAACAGTTGTGCATCTTTTTTGCAATCGAAAGATGATTGAATTGCCTGAAAACCGCCACGTGTATGGAAAGCATTGAGGCAGCGCCATATAGATCATCAACGTGCTGCCATGGGCACACGTGAACGATGACGCCAATTTGTACAAGCCCCGCCCCTCATGTCATGTGAATAATTAAGTGCAAAATAGAGAAGGCCATACTGGAGACATCCTGCATATTCTTTATATTCAGAGATACTTTTCACCGGTACAAACAGGAGAAAGGACAGATGGCGTTACATTTCCTGAACTTTGAAGAGTCTTCTGACTCCTCCTAACACCCCTCCTCCATCCAATGCACAGCCTTCCCCCTTCATCCCCTGGAGCGAGGGGGGTCCATACCTATGTATAGGGCTGACTCAGTGTGTACATTGGGCCTCTCTCTCCTTGTTCCAGTAGGTGAGCAGATAAAGGACAGAAGGCCTTACTGGAGATGTCCTGCATATTCTTTATATTCAGAGATACTTTTCACCTGTACAAACAGGAGAAAGAACAGATGGCATTACATTTCCTGAACTTTGAAGAGTCTTCTGACTCCTCTTAACACCCCTCGCTCCAGGGGATAAAGGGAGAAGGCTGTGCAGTGGATGGAGGAGGGGTTCCTCCATCCACTGCACAGCCTTCCCCTTTTATCCACTGGAGCGAGGGGGGTCAATACCTATGTATAGGGCTGACTCGGTGTGTACATTGGGCCTCTCTCGATTTGCTCCAGTAGGTGAATAGATGAAGGACACTGGAGGCTTCCTGCATATTTTTTATATTCAGAGATACTTTTCACCTGTACAAACAGGAGAAAGGACAGATGGCATTACATTTCCTGAACTTTGAAGAGTCTTCTGACTCCTCTTAACACCCCTCCTCTATCCGCTGCACAGCCTTTCCCCTTTATCAACTGGAGCGAGGGGGGTCAATACCTATATAAAGGCTGACTCTGAGTGTACATCAGGCCTCTCTCGCTTTTTCCAGTAGAACAGATGGCAGTATGAGCAGTAAAGGTGGAGAAGGGGGGCAATAAAGTGAATCTGTATTTGGTCCTGCACAAGCAAATCGGGTTCACTTTAATTTTATGGTGTGTGTAAACCCTAACTACGAGCTTTTCCTATTTGCACTCATTTGGTCTGTTAAAGCTGAACTCTGGACTTCCTTTCACACCATATATAACCAGACTTTGATGCCTTCAACTCTTTTTGGATGGCAGCATAGAACCTAAGAAAAAAAAATAGTATATTGAGGAAGAGAGGACAAGCCACACCCAATGAGACCTTTTGTATAAACGGCAAGTTTCATGGTGTAACAATACGGCAATTTGATGCAACCATTCAACAGAATGTGTTAAATGTCCCCATCCGAGCTTACAAGGTAAAAACATCCAAGTTTGGTTCCATAGAGTGCCTGCCACACCTTGGGACACCCACACCTTCATCTTGTAGACTTTCTTAGATCCTGGTCGCACCCCCAAGGGTTCTCTGTCTCTTGAGCTCTCCCAATACCAACCAATTTAACATTTCATGCTACTGTGTGCTGCTAGGTTTGGGCTCTCTTCTTTTCAAAGTTGAACTTTAAAGGGAGGATAACCCACACCCAACTAGACCTTTTACACAAATCGCAAATTTCATGGTCTATCAGTACCAAACTTCCAGCAGTTGGATGCAACCATTCAACAGAATGTGTTAAATGTTCCCATCCTAGCT